AGACATGGACGATTGCAACAGGTACATGTTCGCGTACCCCATAAGCAACATAAATGCAACCTGTGTTGACCAAGCGTATACTGTAGCATTATTTCGGAATATGGTGCCTTGTGGAGACCCAGGAGAATGGGTTAAATAGGTCTCCACAAGGAATTTCTAAAGGTGTATAGGTCTCCACAAAGTTTCACAAAACTGATGCTTGAAAATCGCTCAAAAAGGAGAATTTTTTAATGTGTACTATCTGTCGCAAATTGAAGTGTTTCATGCCGAGACAAGCGGTCACCACTTTAGTCCAGGAGAGTGATTCATGTGTTGAAATGGGAGCATTTTGAAAACATTCTTTCACAGCGACCGTGTTAGTACTGGAGAACAAAGCCATGTCTTCACTAGGATACAAATTTCGGGATTGTGACTTCTATGGCATACCACACTCTAGTGTGGCCTTTCCATAGTGAAAGCATTTGTAATCAGCACAGGCCAGTATTCCATAGGTCACATACATGTACGTGGACGTTCTGCCCTCAATCCCTGTCAAAGGTTTGCAGGACTGGCTGCTTTTGTGTCCACAAGGGAATCAATCTCGTTCATACTGGTAGGAAGTCTTCAGCAGCCTCTCTCATGTCATGACTTGGAGCCCTGACTTATAATTGGAACTGGCCTGTCTCTAGTTTGGTAGTGTCTATGGCGTAGTGTGTACAGAGAAGGTCCTGGCTTGGTTATAACAGCTCCTCCTAGGCACTCATCACCGAGGTAGAACACAGCATACTGTTCAAAACAAGGAAACGGAGACATACTTTGATTTCTTCTGCACCCTGAAACTTAACCGAGGAAATAAATATGCGCAGTGTTCTGCTGAAAATGGCCCAAGCTGAAGGCAGGGACATGCTCACCAATAGGCGGTACACGTGCATTACGTGCCTCTTCGACCAATTGTGAGCAATAAATTGCCAGTTTTTATGTAGAAAGAAGCGGCCATTCTTCAAAGCTGGACACCGGCCACGCACAAACTTATTCTCAGTCATAAATATGCGAGTTGCTTACTGGTACTGGACTAGTGACCTCCAGGCACTTGCATGCTGACAAGTCCCAATGTGCAGAACTTACACAAAGCATGCATGCCAACACACAAACAAGTGCAGTCAAACCTGGAAAATTTCAAAGCTCCTATTTTTGGGAGGGATGCCATCCATTGTGGAGAACCCGGGGCATTCAATTTCAGAAATCTTTTTCAATGAAGAAACAATATTCTTTCAAGGAATGCAGTGGTGGTTATTAAAATTGGCCTTTCACAACTGTCTTGTAAACATGTCAAAACCTTACCATGTACATAATCCTGTAAAATATGGTACCGTTTTGTGACTACGGCATACACTAACTAACCTGTCCAGGGGTAACTGCCCTGAGTGGCTGACTCAGTGAGACAATTACAGATCCCATACTACTTAGTGTTAACGTGCAAGGCACTGGAAAGAGAAAACATGGAAGACTTATGTCACTTTTGCAGGAGAGATGACAATGCCACCACAATTAATAGACACAAAAGCTCTCAATAATTTAAGGTGTACCACTTTTTTTTGTTTGCCTGCGGAGGGGGCTCACACTGAAGAAATAAGTTGGCTCTGAGAAAAATGTCTAGCTAGTACAGTATGTGACAATATTAAGCACCTAGAGTACAGCACAATATTCACTATGCTTTTCAATTCAAAATAGGATTTGTTTTAAACCTAATGTGCCTGTACATGGCCAATTCTGATCTGATCCTGATCCATATGTTGCTTCAAGTGGGAGTCGGCCTGGGTCAAAAGAAGGCCTACTACAGCTGGATTCGAAATTGGATGATGGTGAGACCTGCTGCACTTTGAGTCTGGTTAAGTTGGTGACATCTACACCATGTAAACCAAGGACAGTGGTGGTGTAATTTGAACCAGGGTCATGCTGGTGGCATTTTACCGTTGGTCACGGTGACATAATCTACTCCTGTTCATCATTGTGGGATCTGAACCAGGGTCACATTGGTGGATTATACCAGATACATGTACCAGGTTGTACATGTAAGTGATGCATTGGAGTCAGGTTATGGCAGTAAAATGTGATTTTCTGAAAATTTGAGAGAACTGAATCTGGACCACAATGGTAGGAAGTGATCATGGGTGACACCTGTTGGAGTTTCATCCCAGATCCCCTTGGTTAATTAGAAACAAGGCTATGGAGACACAGTTTGAACATGGCTCTTTGTGGTGAGATTTAAATCTTGGTCACCACAGTGGACACAAAAAAAGTTCCACTGTTCCATTTTTATGTTCCAATCCATTCAACTTGCAGTTCAATCTCCTTGGCTAGTAAAGCACACACATGGTACACATACCTAGTGGATCAGTGTTTTGGAAACGGAAGTCACAGTCTATCATTTGCTCCTGTAGAAGCTGCCTAGGAGCTTCTCGTATCCAGTGAACTGGGCCTGTCAACATTGTCTCACAGAACAGAGCCGGATGGTTGGTGTGTGGAGCCTGGAGAGTTAAAGGGTGTAATCACTGGTAATACCCGACAGAAAAATCACTGCTTTTGGCCACTTTGCACTGGAGGACGTGTAAACACAGTCTGGACTGGATCTGTAACAGAGGCACGGCTGATGGGATAAACCATCAAGCATGCCTTGTCCCACTTCCACCAGATGTTTAAACCTATCAAATCCCCATTTGTTTTGTATATATATAGTTTGGGACTTTTTGAGTTGAACCTGATCTTGATTGCTTTGCACAGCCAGTTGCAATAACACATACCGCTCCATGAGCACACCCCCGAGTGTTGAAAAATATGAGGTTGTGGCAGGGAATGCATCTAGATTCTGTTCAAATGACATTGTAAATAAGAGAATAAATATGTGCTTTGCTGGTCTTGAGCGTTAGTTTATATAAACACCAACCAAGCACATATTTGTTCCCATTATACGTTTTAGTTGGACAGTCAAAAGAAGTACAAGATAAATTTTCAGGGATTTCGTTCAAGAATTTTGCGTTTCTCTGACCGAACACCCCAATCCATTTTAGGGTATATTCCTTGAACAAGTATAGTCCTGGAGAATTTCCTTATATGCCTCGGTGCGCACACAGACTCTTAACCAATAGGAATGAATGAAACTGTCTCGTATCTAGTTGCCAGTACGTTTTTATGCAGGGGGCATTCTCAAATCGCAGCGGGCATTACAAACTATTAACACACGGTCATGTTGCGCGTTGCTGAATAGGGAAACTGTCTGAGGTATTTAGGAATCAGCTTTAACAGTGTTTGGATGTATATCAAAAGGTGACTGCAATTTTGCCCTTTTGCAACAATGGAAAAGAAAACCGCCTGCATGCAATTAACCTGTAGAAACATATGAAGTTGGCGTTCTTTGAGTGGTACAGGGGTAGAGACACTGTTGGGGTTGAGCTACAAGAATGCCTGGGGAAATTAAAATAGTAAACCCACTACTCACAGCTTTTACAAATGACGTGTACTGAACAATGAACCACAGCGTAATTGTAACATCCATTCATGTCTACTCACTACAATGACTTCATTGGAGGAAGGGACTTTATCCACAACGAACCACTTTTCTTTCATTCCGCCTATTTTGGCCTTCTGCCCAACTGTATAAATGAAGTGACCTAGCAGGCAAAATAAAATAAACACAGTATGAGAGAGTTTCATTAAGCCTGTACATGTACATACAGTACACATACGAGATGTCCTATATTAAGTTTTGCCGACAAATTCATTGTTCTGCTTTTGCTGCATGGTATGAGGGAATGCTCGGCTCTTACAACACAAGTTTCTAATCAACTAATAGTTCAATAACTTACCTTCGTGCTTGCCTATAACCTTGTTGTCTTCTAGAGAGACAAAGTCACCAGGCTTGGGTTCCAAATACTGAAACAAAACAAAAAACATTCAAATGTAATTTTAACATCTCCATTATTTTGGGAAAGCCAAAAGTGCTGTTCTTCACTGCGCTACCAGACATTACAAAATTTTGCCTCTAAATGTGTGAAAGTATGATCTTTGTTTCATGGGCTTTCTGCTTTAATCTTCAGCTGATCTGGATCGCTGGCACAGGAAGTTTTGCATTCTAACATATATATGTAATTACAGGAGCATACAGTATGTGTGATTTCAAGTATGTGTGAAATCAAGCTGCTGATACTGTGCCCTTCACATTTTATCAAATAACAGTGGCCCAAATAGATGTACAGTCCGTGGCACCCACTAAACACCGAGGTTGTTGCAGAGGTTGTTCTTAATTTTCTCTTAATTGCAGGCATTTTCTTTTCTTTTTCTTTTTCAATGAACTGAAGACTAAATGAAACTGAGACATAATGTTCAATTTTTTTCAGAATCTGTGGGGGAGTTTTCAAACATGCTCACTGTCTTCGCATGTGAGACAAACATTGTTACAAGCCCCCACCTCCTTATAAATTAAACACTGTAAGTAGTCTTGTTCAAAATGACCTCTCAACCATGTCAACAGTTCAAAACATATGGACCTGTGACAGGCACTTCCACCAGGAAAACTGTGCAAATTCAAGTGAAAATTGGCCCACGAGATTTATGCAATGCACAGGCATCAAATCCGTCTTACGCTCTACACCACACCACACCACCCCAACCAAGCATTTCATGGGGTCCATAGAAGTATACATATACATGTAAAGTACTGGCACTCGTTTCAGTCAGAGCAGTCAGTAACACTTTGTCATTTGCCGTACGGGATGGTTCAATGTACATGTAATGTGCAGGAATGGCATCAGTGGCTAACACGTACCTCTTTGATGAAGCGCTTGAATTTCCTACTTCCTATGAAACATATTCCCATGCTCTGAAAGAACAAGAAAAAGTATACAGTTGCTTCCTTATACAAGGTACAATGTATGGGAACAGAGCAAATTTGTACAATACCATTGGGAGCCACGTCTAACAACATTTCTTTAATGTGGGTTAAGAAGACTGGTTTAAACCTTGGAGCTAAATTTGGAGGGTACATAGCAATAATCAGAGCATAGAAAAGATGGTTGTTGCTGCTGATGAATTTGTTGTTGGAGCACAGTTATAATGGTCCCATATGTGTGTATGCTATTAAACGTTTGGAAAAGACAGCAATTTCATTAGACAGAATAATGAATTTGATGATCTTCAGAAAATGATCAAGATCCAAAATGGTATTCATAATTACTACAAAGATGCAAAAGATGCAGTGAAGCGATTACGGTGATGATTATTAAAGTGTCTATGATGACAAAGATGGCATCATTTATGATGCCACTGATTGTGATGGAATGACCAAGCAACTTGTGACAGTGAAGACAATAAAGGTAAGTGGCAACAATAATGGAAAAATGGCTGTCCAAATGACAAGGAAGATAAATATGATAATTACGCATAATTAAGGAAATGACAGTGATAAGGACAGTCTGAACTGTAAGCAGATGTGTGTTGCCACATACAGTACATGTACGTACATGTGACAAACACAGAGTTGTTTAGGCCTGTTGTCTTTGTCCACTGTTAACATGTGCACGGGATTTGACCGGTGTTTCATGTGTGATGGTGTTGTCAAACCAGGCCCGTTGCCAACGTGTATTTTTAAGGTGACATCCTGTGGTACATGGTGGCGTCATGGTGGCGACTATAATACATCCCTGCCTATAAGCACATCAAGTTTCAGTTTGACCGGATGTGTAATTCTTAGATATTTCCTAAGCATCAGCTATGGCATTCCATGCTCTCACCTCCTTCCGTTTGACAATCCTCTCCAGTCCAGCAGTGCTTGCCATCTCTCTGACAACATCCTTGGTCAGATCCCCCACAGGGAATAGCGTTCTCTGCAGTGCCCACTGGGGCATTTGCGAGAGGAAGAACGTCTGGTCTTTAGTGGCATCCATGGCTCTAAGTAACTTGACCACTGCATGTACGGGTAGATATGGCAAACACCAATGAATCCATCAATGGTTTCTGCCAAAGTATTGGGACTCAACCGAATGTGTCAGAGGTCCCTTGCCTGTGTATATTTGTTTGCATGTCACTCACAGCCATTGAAACAACTCACCAAACAAAATCAGTTGAAATTGCCAACTCTAGCTGTCTCTACATGACATATCAAGCCATTAAGATCTCAAATTGTGTGATATTATCCACATACCTTTATATGTAACAAGGTTAAAGGGGTGAATAGTATACACATATGGACTGGCAATGAGGTCACTAGTGAATGTCTGAGTGCCTTGAGGGACTGTGAGTAACTAAAAGAGGGTCCTATTTCCCTGAGGTCAAACATGCCCAAGGGAAATACTTGTAGGACCCTCTTCTAGTCACTCACAGTCCCGAGAGGCATACACTGTATGGACGTTCACCAGTGACCTCATTACCAGTCCACATGGGGATACATGTATGTGTCCATACATGTATGTGGATACACTGGAGCTCCCTGAGGTATTGGCAGTTGACAAAGAAGATCCCACAGCACCATCCAATATGGGGGGGGGAACACATACATGTACACGCAACATTGGCTATCCACCAAAGATGAACCATGATAAACATCATGTGTATATGTACATGTATGGCTTCAAAGTGTCCAGGTGTAGTCAACTGTTCCTAGGGTACACGTTTGTTACAATGTGCTTGCGTATTTGACTTGTGAATGGATCCTTGGGTGCGTGCCAGGTACATGTACACCAGCAAATGTGTAAAGACCGACACATGAATTTACTCATGAGAATTTAGCTCTTCATACATGTACATGTATTTACGAGGTATGGTAAAATAAAAGGCAGTATATATATGGCCAGTTCTGCCCTTTGTATTAAATGAAAATAAGTGTCATCAGATGTTATTTTTTACATTAAAGAAAACCATAACCGTCGTCATCACTTATGAAATTACACATGTACACTGTATGTGCATGTACAATGTACACTGAGTACATGTGTACATGTATGTAAGTCGGGTAGAGATTAACAATAACATGAAGCTCTGACTATAGGGGTCAGCAGGTGATACTCACGTGGGGGTTTGGATGCCCACCCATCTTCTAGGATTCTCTCTCCAGCATCTGTCCTGGCGTAGTGGCCGGTGGCCACAGCGTCAGCGCCCAGCACATCTCGGCTGTACTGCAGCAGCCGATCAAACTTGATGTGCTTGTTGCAAAGGATGTCTGGGTTGGGTGTGATGCCTGCCTGGTATTGCTTCAGCAGCTCGCTGCAATAAAATGCATCACCACAATGTATCGTGTACCGGTAAATACATGTACTTAAATGGTTTAATTCAGCATAGCTGTGCTTCAAGCAGAAAGGTTCTGCAGTAACTGCATGTATGTACAGTAGGCACACGTACCTAACAATGTACATGTACATGTATGTCCCAACTTACAACATCAGTCCCATACAGTATATGTACATGTACATATTTACAGTGTACTGCTGCAGGTACCGGTACATTGCACTTACATGTATGACCTACAATCAGTATACATGTACAAGTAGATGCAAGGCTTTGCATGGGAGCCATCTTGCAGGGCAGTTGTTTTGTTCCACAGGGAAGCCTCCTTTGTGCATACCCTGTACAACAAAAGCACTCGCCAGAAAGATGGCAGCCATGCAAACCCTCTTATGTACACTGTAGGCCAATTTCTACAGGCAAATTTTTCAGACTCCAGGTACATGTATTTGCATCTCACAGCTGACAGAATTCATCAACCATGTGCCAAGCTAGAGTTCCGTCCATGATACAAACAAGACCTAGATTCTGCTGCGTACATGTATGTATGTACTTGTATCACGTGTTGCTGATCATGATGAACTGTACATGTACATGTATGTATACAAAATGTAAAGGTAAATGTACCTGTACCTTTTTTGGTACAGTTGGGCTGGCTCAACTATACTTGGGGTGGCCCATACAATGTCGTTTACTGGTAGGTGGGACATTCCCCAAAGTTGGGGCAGATACAACAGTTCAGGTATACCAATAACGGGCAAGTTTGCAGTAACAATGAGCTACAGTAGTTCAGTATTTCAGAAAAACAAGTCGAGGAACAAAGCACGTACAGTGTACATGTAGCACGAGTCCACTTGGGGCCATGTTGACAGGGCAAATTTACATGTACATGTACATGTAGCACATGCATCCGATTGACCTCGGACGCGCTTCCTTTTGGGCATACGGTGCTGTAATATCAAACAGGCTTAATGGCACCAATGCTTTAGAAACTTTCGTAGATTGCAAAATTTGAACGAGTGGGCAGCAGGCTACCTGACACAGCATTATTTATGTTCATTGGTTGAAGATACGACACTGTATGGGCTGAATTTGCAGTGACTGCTGTACAAATCGCCCCAGGTGTGGCTGCAGTTGATACAGTATGTAAGTGTGGGCATGAACTACTGTATAAGACTGCACACACCGATCTGAAACCTCAACTTTGTGGTGTACTTTAACAGTATAAACTTCTCTAGTTCCAAGCTTTTCCAAAAGACAAATTACAACCACAACATCACCTACAAAAAAGATAAAATATTTGACCAAACTGCATTTTCAAGAATTTTTCTTTTGATATGTACATGTACTTTACATGTATACACAAACCGATTTCACGACAATTTAAAAACGAATGTAAAAAAGGATGACTAACTTTTCTCAAAATGTCAGTGAGGTTTTTCTGCTTCTATATACAAGTACCTGAAGACATCGTGCCAATATTCCTTGACAAAGCTGACTTGATGGAAGGGTAGTCCCAGTTTCTGGCAGACATGCTGGGCATCCTCTTCATCTTGGTCCACGGTGCACACTCCCGTTTCATCTAGGACATCCCAGTTGCGCATAAAAAGTCCTGTTACTTGGTAACCTGCACATACATGTACACAAAAGCACTCATACATACAACATAATGATACATGTTTACAATCAGTCGATCGCTAAATCTTTGTGCAATCTGTTGACCTTAATATTGCAAAATTTGGTAATAATTCAATTATCAGTGAATTACCTTTTTTGTAATTCAGGATAAGGAATTTTGTTTTCAAAAACAAAAGTTAACAGGTGACATCAGGAGGTCGTTATATATAATTAACATCTCCCCAAC